GTGAGGACTCTTGGAAGGTGGAGTTGTAAGGACTCTTGGAAGGTGGAGTTGTGAGGACACTTGGAAGGTGAAGTTGTGAGGACACTTGGAAGGTGGAGTTGTGAGGACTCTTGGAAGGTGGAGTTGTAAGGACTCTTGGAAGGTGGAGTTGTGAGGACACTTGGAAGGTGGAGTTGTGAGGACTCTTGGAAGGTGGAGTTGTGAGGAAACTTGGAAGGTGGAGTTGTGAGGACACTTGGAAGGTGGAGTTGTGAGGACTCTTGAAAGGTGGAGTTGTGAGGACACTTGGAAGGTGGAGTTGTAAAGACACTTGGAAGGTGGAGTTGTGAGGACACTTGGAAGGTGGAGTTGTAAGGGCTTCCTCGTTATTTACCTTCAAGACATCTTGTGGACACAGCTGGAGTCCGGGAGAAGGAGGGCAACACAGAGTTGGGAAAAATATTGATCACATGAGTGCATTGTACGGTCACCATCACACAAAGTTATTACAGAACATCATGAAAGAACTGAATAACAGGTGATTATGCCTGCCAGATATACTCCACCAACAGGAACAATGTTGTGCATAACGACACGTTGTACGAAGCCTCGTGTGTTGCTTAAATAATCTTTAACATATGGTTCCCAGACCTAACTAACATCTGACAGAGCTATTTTGAACATCTGTTGCTCTGTGGCAGAATATATGTCTGGTAGACGTTCCATACGTTGTAGTGCCTACCAGTCTACATGTCCTGTGCTATTCGGAATCAAAATCAAATCATTGTTTTTATATCTTTTCGTAGTATACAATGTGTAGTTTACATGTAACAAAATATTGTTGAGCACAAAGTAAGGCACTAGCATGCATGAACATTTCTGGCACATACATATACAGTATTGTGTATTTTCAAATTTTATCCACTTTTGAATGCTGGGTACATAAAGTGGTTTTAATCTAAGACCTGAGTTATATATATAATATATATATATATATATATATATATATATATATATATATATATATATATATATATATATATATATATATATATATATATATATATATATATTATATATATAATATATATATATATATATTTACCAATAGGAATATTTTATTACATAATATGGCACAGAAGATTTAAGAGATACATTGTTGATATAAAGGTGGCATTTTACGGTACTTGTTGTTACGTATGTATCACCGATTATAAGGCGAAAATCTCATCCAGCTCCAAAGAGCTGGGGCGTGTGCCCAAATGCAGCATGCATTACCCCTTTGAACAGCCGCATGAGCCGCTGGAACAGAAAACTAGCTGCCCTGGGATCCCTAGTTACCCTGATGAGTCTTTTTCCCAGCTCCTTAAGGAAATTAGATGCACTCTTTCCCCATGAGCCAAGGGTCTCTGAGCCTATGGAACAAACATATAATGATGGGCAAGTTCTCCATATTTTCTAGACTTTTGGGACTCCCTAAAGCTGGCAGCTGCCCCTCCTTCCTCCCTGGTGTATTGGAGATAGGTATCAGCCAAGGTAGATGCACATGTATAGTCCCACACCACCTGCTTCCCATCTGTCCAGGCTTGAAGGGTGATACCATCTGGACGCTTCTGGCTGCCGTCAGATCTGCATAGTTGGGGTGGCTCCCTTACTGCTGGGCATCCAGCTGTTGTGAGGCTCCTCTTGATAATGTTATTAACCCCCTCATGTCTTGCAACTCTTTCCCTCGGATTTACGGCACACAAGACCATGGTACCCGAATCGGTCTGCTGCTTCACTGCCACAAATACACCTGTGTTCGGCGAGAATAGGGGCGGCAAGTCGAAGGGCAACACCGATGCGGATGGTCTGTGGGTCGAGGCGTGTGCCAAGGCTGGAGTTGGGGAACAGCCAACAGAAAGTCCCCAGCATGAGGGGCTCTCACTGCCAGGAGGCGGGCTCTATTCCTTCCCTGACACACTCTGAAGCATCGTTGAGGCTATATTTTCCACTATTGGACCATCCCAGTGCGATTGTTTGTAGTTGTTGGGGGGAGCAGGTCTGGTTTCTGAGCCCGTTAGATTATCCCAGATCATTGCTCCGTCAATGAATTTTTGGTCCTGGGCTCCAATCGTGTCCCTAAGATGTTCAGGGAGAATCGCTGCTACAAGCTCTCTGGATGCAATACACGAGGACAGAAAAAACAGGTTAACGCAATCTGTGATGACTTGCGGACACCAATGCCTCCTAGTCTGACTGGAAGTGTAGCTTGGTTCCACTGCCCGTCTTCTAGAGTAAGGTTAAGTACTTTCGTAAAAATCTGCCTCAGAATACTGTCATATTCGTGCAGTATAAAGGGTTATCATATGAAGGTGCACATCTTAGGAAATATGTCAACCTGGGCAGACTCAAGCACTTTGTGAGAAGGTACAAGGCATCGTGGGTGTCCAGATTGCCTATTCGTTGTTCCATTCTCCTTAACTCTTCCAATTTCTTCCTGAGAATTGTGTCAATGACATTGCTTCCCAGAGGTGCTCCTAGCAAGACACTATTTGTGGGGGCAATGACTGCTGCTCCTGGTAGTTTTGATCTCACTGCATTTATCACTTGTTGACTGACTGGAGATGATTTCACATTTGGATGGATTCAGGATGAGACCCATTTCCTGTCCCCGTGTCATTACCTGTGTAAGGTCATGTAGGAGGGACTCTTTTGTACCTGCTAGTGTGCCATCATCTAGGAACCAGATGTTTAGCTCGCTGGTCAGTCTGACTGTGATTTCCCTAACTGCTATACAGAAGAGAAATGGTGCAAGAGGATCTCCTTGTTGGACACCCTCCGATGATGTAATTTCATGCTCTCCAAAGAGAAGCATTGATTCCTTGCTATACCCGGCTGAAACAAAAGGGAAGAGACCAGGAAATGTTCTTGTACTGCTGCTAATACCACGTCTCTTTTTCAGGAGATTGAACGCATTCTTGAAATCTAATTTTACCACTGCATTGTCCTCAGGCAGGTGGTTGATATATGCCCTTGTTGCATGAACCGCTGCTTCACTTCCTTGAGAGACCCCAAAGCCAAGCTGGTTTGGTTGAAGCATCATGGCTGCCTGTGCACGAATACTTCGGACAGCAGCTTTGGATACGAGGCGGCGTAATGTGTTGCCTACTGCAATTGGCCGAATTCTCCATCCTTCTTTTTAAGTGCACAAAGTGTTGCACCAAAAAAGAAAGGTCTAATTTCATCAGGAATCAGGCCAGCCAAGGAATTGTTGACGAACCTTGTGATCTCTGAAAGCAGTGTCTCTGCAATTTCCCCAATAACTGGATTAACCATTTCCTTTAAATGCTGTGGCCTTATTCCAGTGTAACCCCCAGCAGAGCCAGATGGGAACGACATTATTGCTTTGTAAATGTCTGAGTCTTCCACAATCAATGGTTCCATAGTGGGGACAGAGGTGTTGGAACTGTTGGTGGCACTGGTTTCCCTGGCAGGGTGCTTTCCTCTAAGTGCTTCAGCCGTGTCAGCATCCCTGGGAGCAACTGTATCTTCACTGGTAATAATTCTGATTGCCCCCACTGTGTTGCCCTCTTCAATTTTCTATATATATATATATATATTTTATATATATATATAATATATATATATATATTATATATATATATATATATATATATATATATATATATATAAGGAGGGACATGATAACAACATATAAATTACTGAGAGAAATTGACAGGGTGGCTAGGGACAAGATGTTTCAGAGATGTGACACAGCAACAAGGGGTCACAACTGGAAGTTGAAGACTCAGCTGAGTCACAGGGATGTTAGGAAGTATTTCTTCAGTAACAGAGTTGTCATGAAGTGGAACAATCTGGAGAGTGATGTAGTGGAGGCAGGATCCATACATAGCTTTAAGAAAAGGCATGATAAGGCTCATGGAGCAGGGAAGAGAGTGGACCTAGTAGCAACCAGTGAAGAGGCGGGGCCAGGAGCTGTGATTCGACCCCTGCAACCACAAACAAGTGAGTACACACACCCAGTTTGCTGTTCAACCAAAACCTAAAGAACAGATTGTTGATGATGAAGCTGCCGCTGCCGCCGCTGCCCGCCGCTGCCGCCGCTGCCGCCGCTGCCGCCGCTGCCGCCCCTGCCGCCGCTGCCGCCGCTGCCGCCGCTGCCGCCGCTGCCGCCGCTGCCGCCGCTGCCGCGCTGCCGCCGCTGCCGC